ATTGTGAAAAGTGTTCAAAATGACTTTCCAGAAGATCCTTAATTAGAGTTACCGTGGAGGCTCTCCTGTCTTTTTTCATTGAATACAATTAAATAGACTATTAATTTTGACCCTCTGAGTTTCACCTGAATTAGATGTCTGAGCAGAGCCTGAGTATCTATCTTGGACTGTAACTGTGGCTTGATGTTGTCACCCAGCTGTCACAACTAAGTTTGTAACTCAACACTGGTTAGGAAAGCAAAGCTGCTGAGAGTGTAAGAAAACTGTATTCTTAATCTGTTGCCTAAGGCGCTTGCTCATATTTTAAGTATCAGATAAGCATGAGATGTGGAAAAGTCACAATGAAGCATCTTGGTTCTGGATCCTTCTTAAAGAAAACAAGGAAATAAAAACTGTGCCTAAACAGGTAAAGAAAACAATATAAAATATATTCTTAGTTAAACATGTATAACTAAATAAACTAGTCCTACAGCTGCACTGATACTGTGATTTTTACTGATACCATGCTAATTGAAAACAAGTAATCCTGGATTAGAAGTGAGAAGAATTCACAGCAATACAAAATAAGGATTCTTATGTTTATTTTCCTTAGTTTTTCATCGTAATGAAACTTTCAGAGCTGGAAGTGTGCCAACATTGTTTTGCTTTGCTTTATTTTGTTAAAGGTATTTTAAGGTGCTGACAGGAATATGTCACCTCTTTATGAATGGGGATTCAACATTTCTGTCTATCACCTGACTCGTGTGTTTAGGGGACAACTTAGAAATGTGGCTGCATTTTAAGTTAAGTGGCCTTTTCCCCTTCATGTTACCCAAATACTTCTTGGCTCACTCTGAGATCCACTCTTCTTAGCTCTCACTTTATTTCAGTGGCCAAAGTGCAAAATATATAAAAATGCCAATTCTCCAAGTTGTATTTTTGCTAGTGAAGAATAAAGTTATCTGTTGGTGAAGTGCCATCCTACCCCAGGGTTGTTCCTAGAGAGCCAGAGCTGCTGGCTTCCAGATTGTTGAGCCAAAACAATGTTTGTACAGCCAAAACACAGTGAAGGACAGGACTCATTTGTTTGTGCATGAGGTTGTGTAACTGTGTACACTGACACCTCAGGCATGTGGCAGATGGTAACTAAGGCATCTGGAGGGCCAGGTTAGCAGATCTAAGAGTAAGCAGTTATTGAACACAAATTCCAAAACACAAAATCACAGCACAGAATTTGGGTATGGAATCAGAATATGGGCTGAGAAACTTTTAGATAAAGAAAATTTTTGTGTAATTTCTGGTGTGAGGGAGACCATAAGAAGAATCTTCAAAAGTCCTCAAGCTTCTTAACTCAGTTTCTTCCCAAGCAGCAGAACTCACAGTGTGCTGATCCCTGAGAGATGGTGCCTGATGTAAATGACTCTTCCTCATCTTCAGGAATCTATCTTGCCAGTATTCAGGAATGTTGCAGCAAAAATACTAATAAATAAGAAACAAAAGGGGGGGATCAGAATAGGTATCAATAAAGTATCTGCTCCTTTGATAATTTCACATTACTATTTAATCCCTCAGTATTACCTAAATCTCTTAATTCTCATGAAGGGGATAATAATTTTGGCTGCTATTGTCATTCAAACTAGGCTAACATGCAATGGCCCTTTTCTTCATGTGTCAAGTTGTACCATCAGCATAGCAGGACCTACTGGCTGAATTTTGGCCTATCAAGTTTTGGTGTTTTGGTTTGTTTTCATTTCAGTAAATGGTGTCACCTTAATATAAATATAATCTTTAAAACACTGATAATTCCTTTACCAAAACTGTAGCCTGTAGCTAGACAGAAGGACTTTGACTAACAACTCTTACATGTGCCCTAACAGCTGTCCAAAGACATCATGGAATATCTCGAGTTGGAAGGGATCTCTATAGAGCATCAAGTCCAACTCCCTCCTTCTCACAGGACTACCTAAACCAGGTGACTAAGAGTATCCTCCAGACACTCCTTGAACACATGACTGCTTCCATGGAGAGCCTGTTCCAGTGAGTGACCACCCTCTGGTTGAAAAGCCTTTCCCTAATATTCAGTCTGAACCTCAACCAATGCATCTCCATTCCATTTCCCCATATCCTATCACTGCTCCCCAAAGAGCAGATCAGCAACTCCCCCTCCACTGGCCCCCAGGAGGAAGCTTTAGACTGTGGTGGAATCACTCCTTATCCTTCTCCAAGCTGAAAAAGATAAGTGACTTCAGCCAGTGCTTGTGAGTCTTGAGCTTGAAACACTCTACCACTGCTCCCACCTCAGTAAGGTATCCTAAACCTCCATGTCTATAAAATTAATGTCATCCAGCACCATTCACCTATTTCTTCTTTACGCCAGCATCACTTCCATAACATCTACATTTTGGATAGCACTTGATAAACTGTTCTTGGTTACAGGAATATTCACAGCAGACAAGCACTTATGACAAACTTTTCATTAGTCCTGTGCCCTGCACCCCCTGCAGATCTAGGATACTATTTCCTTTCCATGTGACCTCATGGTATATTTTAGAGCATCAGTGCTCTGTGGTTTAGTTAGTATGGCTGCTTCTCTTTCCCCCTGAGGCTGGGCTAAGGAGTGACCTGACATGACAGTGTGTCAGATCTGGGAAGTCATTTCACACCCATTTCTTCTTTCATCAGTTATTGGCTGCCTGCTGCCCTCAGTTCTGATAATTATACAGGCAGTTCAGACAGGTCTTGCTACTAAAGGACTATGGAATCCTCATTTTTATTTCTGGCTACTATGCCTGGATCTACTTCTGCTAAGCACAGCTGCATGAAGGTAGAAATTCAACACAAGGCAGTCATCACTTTCTGCCTCTGTGACCAATGGAGAGAGGAGAGAATCTGATGTCTGCAGCGTGACTCATCCCATCCTAAACAAGACTTCAAAAATAGGCAGGTATTAAACAAATAATACCAGAAGTTAATTTATCTTTGGTATTAGTAACAGATAGCTGATTTGTTTCTTTTTCTTGCCAGCTAAGCTAGGTTCCATAAACATGTCCTTTGAAGGTGAACCATTCTTTGTTGGACATGTGTATCTTCTTTCTTGTATTGCTGCTTGCCCCTGGTGAAGCTTTGCAGTAAACAGTTACCAAGGAAGGGACAGAGAGCATAGTCACAATTGGAAGCTGATTGTGATACCTACAGCTGTGTTGTCTGCTCTCTGCTGTTTGGGTATCAGAGAGATGAGAACTGTACAGGAATGTGCCAAGGAAAGAAGTACAAACTATTCTAGACTCCCACACAGCATTATCTAACTTTGTGAGAAAGCTATGAAACCCATTGCTTTGTTACCTTTTATGCCATATTAAACCTCTATATAATAACTATTACATTTTAATTATTATACATTTGTGAACAGATATTTGATAGTAGTGGGAAACTGCAAGAATGCAATGGTGTGCTGGTTAGGATGTGCTGGCCCCATGCTCACCCCCAACATGGTGCCTGATATACTACTACTATGTCATCATGCTACTAAAGCCCTGTAAATCTGAAGTACAGGCATGGAAGCAGAAAAGCCCCACAGTTAGGGCACCATGGTGTTTTACTGCATTTTTTTATTCGCACAAACTCTTCTCAGCATAATCAGAGGAATCAGCCATCTGAGCAAATATTTAGTAGTCATGAGTAAGGTGGTACTGTTAATATTAAAATGATATAGTTTTGTTTGGTTTGAAATTAAGTGGACATAGACAAGGAGAAATTGGAGAGGGGAAACAGCAAGCAATCTTGAGAAACTGTCTGAGAGAATAGGACCCTTTAGAACAGTATATGTTGTAGATTTCTTGATCTGTCCAAAGGGCCTTTTCAAGGATTCACTGAGTGTAATGGTGAAGATTTCTAACAATGCCAAAGACAGACACAGTCTCATGTTCAGCTGTGGGAGGTGTTTTGCTGCCCACCCCACCACAGGGCTGGAAGTGATGTGCTCCAGGGCATGGGGCAACCTCACCTGCCCCCATAGTCCAGTTCCCAGAGACTTCCCTGACACGCTTGCAGCATCAATGTCAGCCTCAGCAGAGAGGGACCTGCTGGAGTGTTAATGGTTTAAAGCACCAGAAACCTGGGTCTGCTCCTCCAGAAACCCACTTCCAGATTGAGTGCAACAAATGGAGTTCCATTTTCACAGTTCCCACAACTGCTTGGCCCAAAATACATTTGCTTGTTTTTTTGGCAGTTTTGCCTCATGACAGTACTGCAGTGCTTTTCTTTCACCTCATATCTGGAAATAAATACACACACTTTGCTGTGAAAACTGCCAGCCAGCCTCTCACTCTTCAGTAAATTTCCAAGCCATAAGTACTCAAAGTTTGCCCAGTCACCACTGCCTGTGCTGATGCTGCCTCTGAGGGGTCAGGTAGAGATAAATTCTCTACTCTCCCATCTCCACCCATCCTTCTCATCACTGCAGAGGTGTTGGACCACTGCTCCCTTCTGCAGAGGCTGCATGAGCCCTTGCAGGCACCACTGTCAGGTGGGCATTCTGTCCTCATTTGTACCCTGCTCATGAAGGAAAAAGGCAGCTGATGTTAGGTGGTATCTAGGGATAGGGTAGAAGTCTAACTGGATGGTGCAGCCACTCCACAGCAGCTGATGGGATCTCTTCACGGTCTCAGCGCATTCAGTGCCCTGGTTTAGCCGAGCTGGAGCACGTCCTGGCAGCCGGAGCTGGCAGCTTGGAGCTCCATCCTGGGAGCTGAGCTCCGGGCACGCGGGAGCGCGAGGGTGGCCGGAGCGCAGAGCCCAGGGCCGGGCTGGGTGACGGGCACCCCAGGGCCGGGCTGGGTGATGGGCACACCTGGCCCGTGACAGTGGCACCTTGGCACTGGCGTTTCCCCTGCAGCCCTGCTGGGACAGGAAAAGCATGCTTGTTCTCCAGCTGCGTGAGCTGCTTGCTCCAGCTCCACTGAAGGGTGTGGAAGGATGCTGCTGACCACCCTAGAGAAAAGCAACAAAATTCTGCACACAAATTCTGTAAAGAAAATGTTTTATTTAAAGTGTTAAATACCATCACCAGAATGAGTTTGATTTACATTAGTTGGTGTTCATTACAGGCCTAATCTGCCCTTTTTTTTTTCCCCAACTGTAATTCCTTTTAACTTTTTAAAACGTACTATTTACAAGACAGCAGTGATCACTGGAATAGTACTATTTACATGACTAAACCATAAGTAGAATTGCAGACGTGTGAAAATTAAAAAAAATACATTAATTTTTTTTTTAAAATAAATACTGCATAATGACAATTATGTACAAACCTTCCATGCGTCATGTCCTTGATTTTAAAATTTGAAATAATTTATAGAGGACTATGCATACAGGAATATGTGAGCACATCTCACAGTGTCAGGAAAATGGTTATGTATTTTTGTTTAATATCCTAGGGGATATTGTAGACTGCATGTTAGTAGTATTTATTTGCTGCTGGTAGACAGATGTCTAAATTATTTCAATAAATATAATTTTACCAGTCTGTCTATTAACTTAACAATAATCCATTATATAAACTCTGCAGACAAGACACAATCTCATTTTCTATGATATTGCACAAAGTAAAAGGCATTGTAAGTGATACTGTTATTACTTTTTCCTCTTAGGAGGCATGTACAATTTGTTAATGGGAAACTTCAACAGATTTTCAAATAAAATCAGAATAATTCTGTGTGGCCATAAAGGTAAATATAGCGTACTTCAAAAATTATTGCAAGATTTCAATATTAAACCTTAAGTAGGTATTAAAGGCATACAAAGACCCAGAAAAAAAAATGTTATTTTGTTATTAAACGTTAGCCAGTTACATTCCCTTTATAACGAAACTTAATGAGAAGCTTGAGAAGCAGCACCACCCAATGGTCGTCATCGTCTGCTACAAAACCCAGGGTTGTGAAGATCCATTACCTGCAGCAGGTTCTGGTAAAGGTGTTAAATAGCTGAGGAGTGGTACTGATAAGCTTTCTTTAAGGCTACTTTACGAACCAAAGACTGATACTTTCCAGACTGATATTACCTAATTATGTCTTTTGCAACGCAAATGTAATTTATGAAAATTGAACTTTACAGCAGAAGAACTGTATGGATTTGTATCCGTTGTTGTTTTTGTTATTTCAAAATGTAGCAATCAATTTGGTTTAGTGCAAATAAAAGTGCTTAAATTTGTTTCCTAAAAAACAATCAGGTACTTAATTTTTCATCTTTCCAAAAACCTTCAAGAAATAATAGTTCAGTCTTTGAATGAAAGGTGCTGGTGCTGAACACAAATTTATTGAAGACATCTTACAATGGCCACATGATTCCAGTATTTTGCTGTAGAATTCAATTTGAAGGTGAGAAAAAATGAAAATAAGTTACCATGCACTGTACAATAAATTGCAAAAGTTCAAATATCTTCTTTATCAAATACATGCTGAATTACATTAATGTACTCCCAAGCCATGTTGCAAAATCCTTTTCAACATGCTTGAAAAAAAGTAAGCTCTTAAACAATATTTTTCTCAAATAATTCAGAAATGCAGAACAATCTGCAACCCTGAACCAAATATGGGGCATAAGACAGTAATAAGTCAAAAGGTAGCCATTTTAGAATATGCTGATCATCCTGGGAGGTAGAGGGGGGAAAAGAACAAAAGGAAGAAAGGAGACAGGGAGGAGAGATAGAGAAAGAAGGAGGTAAAAGAAGTGTACAATTTGCACATTATGTTGAACTTTACAAGGCTTGTACCTTTTACATTTAAATAAATTTAATATATTACACTTATTTCTTGTCACATAAACAGAATTTTAAATATTTGCTAGAAATTATTTTTTTATTTTTAATATAAGTCTGCAAAAACACAGACCATGACTGGTTTAAAGAATGATAAACGTGGAGTGTCTTTGTATCACCCTGTTGCATTCTCTTCCCTTTAAAACCATGCACTAGTGAAATTTATCTTTAAAAATAATATAAACTGTTGAAAATGGCTGATTTATTCTTTTTTGTTTTTGCAAGTTGCAGCCCCAAGAAAATAATTTAAGTGTTCAGCTAAATCTGTGTCCATGCAAAAAAGTTTCTTAATTTCATACAGTACAGTATATCCACAGAACTTTATTTTTCAGAGTCCAACATGTCTGGGGTTTCACTGTGTGAACAGCTGGAGGTATGAAGCCCGCCACTTTAAGTCTTGAACCTTTTCAGTATGAAGAGTTTTCAGATCTCAAGCAACTGCTGCAAGTTGACTTTTACAGCATCCTTAGATTCTTCTTTTCTTCCAATGTCTGCTAATCCACTGACTTGTAACATGGCTCCATGGGAGGATAACTCTGTTTCTGTGGCATAACCAGACTTTAGGAGGGGAGGGCAGATAAATAAAGAAAAGGGAGCAACAAAACAGATATGCCATTGAAAAGGACTTTTGTTGCATGAAACAGATTGATTTTTTTTTTAGTTTAGTCCATGGCTTCAGATTGGACCAAAACTGAGTCCCTGAACTCCAGACCTATCAGTTCTTCATGATTTCAGTCCATCACCTGAGGGCCTTCCATAGGGCACAATGTGTGCAACTTCCTTGAGAACACAGGATCGCGTTGCAGCCCTAGAAACAGGCTCAGAAGACACAACATTAAGCATGCAGTGTTACCAGGGTTTGCGACCTGTAATTTAATTTTTTTGTAACGCTGGTTGCTATGACAACAGTTTCACAGCTGCTATGAGCGAGCATACGAAGGTCCTGTTGAACTTTCAAGAGATGATTGGGAAGCTCTTCTAGTGAGAGGAGCTAAGGTTGGGTCTACTAGGGAAGAAGGAGGGAAAAGTTTGAACCACCCAATCACCATGTTGGACAGGTCCAGTTCATCTAAAAGTATCTGTGCCACTCCCATAAAGGATTTGTGATCCATACGTCCATAGTCTCCCCAAACAATTATCTGTTAGGTAAAGCACAAGAAAATAGAAAAATTTTAGCAAAAATGTCAAAAGCTTTAATCTGATCTGTCAAAAATCTCTGCTTATTTAATTACAGCAAGGAATGAAATATCCAACTGCTGGCATAGTTTAGTTCTGTGTATCCTAATCATGATGCAGTGACAGAAATTACCTGGGCACAAATAACAGTTATCCACGATACCAGGGAAAGCCCAGTGAGAGGAGCCGATATATATAGCAGAAGCAAATTAATCTATAACTCACTTTTGCTCCCTTCTACTTGCATACTCAGTTTATACTTGCATAAATAGCTATTACTGTTGTGTTTATCTGCTCAGCAAGAAAATAAAATATGAACATTTATTGCCAAATGAAGCCTGAAAGAAATTTGAAACTCATTCAGTGAAAACTGTACAGGTGATATTTTCAGGTTCAGAGGAATATTTATTCAAATTACCTGTAAAACCTTCCCTTGGGGACTTTCTTCAAATGATAGAAGCTGCTGATAAAGTGGTTCCAGCGTTTTTCTTGCTACCTTTGTTTTCTTTTTGGCTATGCAGACTCCATTTTCTAATAGATACACCTTTACATATGGTGCTTAGAAGAATGAAAATAGAGAACAGCAGGTAAAGAAGAAGTCTAGATTTTTTTGTGTAACACACTTTCTATCACCATATAAAAATATGCTTCTAAAGGATATATAACTTGTAAGAACAAATCTCCACAAGCAATATTAACAATTATTCCCATACAAAGCATCTATGCATTTTTTTTACTCTTCTCCTTGGGTGTATTTTTTTCTTGACTTCTTTTTGTATGTCTCTTTTACCATGAAATAATTCAGATTTTGACCTGAACAAATCAAGTATTCCTATATATAGCATCCCCATACTGTACAATATGCAAAATAGGCCTATTAAGTAAATGCAAAACTTGCAATGACTTTGGTGAAATCTGGATCAATGCTCCAAATTGTTAATAATTTAAAATTATCTACAAGGTGAGAATCAGTGAAGAAAGGACTCTGACACAATTTCTATTTTGTCAGAAGAGCTTGCTAAAAATATCATTATATTGTCCTTTTAGCATAGTGTTACAGGACATCAGATTATAAAATATGGAGTAAGTATCAAATAGTGGTCTACTTTTTGAGTAGATACCTATTCCACATCTCTTGATTCCCTCTTCATTTCGAAGACTCCTATATAAAAAAATCTTCAGTATATACTTTTCTTCCTACCCCATAACTAAGGATGCCTTTGCTATTTCCAAAAATACTTCTGGGTTTCCTGGCCGCCTGATTTTTAATTTCCTCCTGAAGTAGGGATGATTTCTGGTGTATCATTTCAATACAGTATGCATTTCAATATACAACATTATAACCTACTGAGATTTGAACTTGTTAAGGGTTGAGAAAGCTGAACAGAAAAGCCAGAGACCTTTATGGTAGAATCTATTCTCAGAATCATAGAATATACTGAGTTGGAAGGGACCCATTATGATCATCAAGTCCAACCCCTGACCCTGTGCTAAGATTGTTACTAAGTTTTTTCTTCCTTACCTGGCAGTGTCTTTGAACCTGGTTTTACAACAAGGCCACGGGCTCGGATTATTTCTACTTCCAGTTGTCCTTTCTTATCCATCATTCCCACCTGAATATCTCCTAGATATCAAAAAGAAATCCCAACATTGAAATTCAGAACTACTACAAGAAACAAAAAAAAAAAAAAGAAGATACGATTAACATGTGGTGACTTGTATAATCTGTTTTTCACCAATAAGTATGATCTGGATTTTAACACTACTATATAATTTAATATTTACCCTCTTCACTGCTGTTTATATTAGTAAGCAATTTAAAACCTCTACAATAACACCTTGCCTCCCATCTTCCATGCCTCTATTACTTCGCATTAATTGCTAATTCCTAAGAGTTTCATATTAAAAAAAAAAAGCAAGGAAGGAAATAAAAAAAAAGAACCCCGGAAAAACGCCTGAAAACCCCTCACCAAGCCCCCAAGTAAAAAAAAAGTAAGAAAAAAAAAACTGGGAAAAAAAAAACCCTGGAAAAAAAAAAATAAAAAAAAATTTGGGCCCAAAATAACAAGTTTTAAAAAAAAAGAACCAAAGGAATCAACAAAAAAGTTGGGCCCAATAACCCCAATTTAAAAAACAAAAAACGAAAAAGAAGGAAAAAGCCGAAATTTTCAAAGCAACTTTCTACTTTTGCATGTCTTCATAAGCATCCATGATTATATTCAACTTTGGCCAAGCTTTGGTCTTAACTGAGTTGTTCAAAACCACAAGAGAAACCTATATTTAAAGGGAATCTAGATAAATTTTATGTCCTAATTACCTGACCAAATAGAATATATCATATCTAGATGACATAAACACTTACCCATTGATGGTGTTGCCAAAGTCTGTCGTCCTACAAGCTGGCCAGGACCAAGTCCATCCAGAAAATCACTGAACTGGCTGTCTGCAGCCAACCTCACACCAGGGAAGATCAAACTAGAAATAATATTGAAAAAAACAAACAAACAAACAAAAATATACTTAAATTTGACCTTTGTTTGTTTTTTTATTTATTTGGTTGGCTTTTTGTTTTGTTTTGGCTGGGGTTTGTTTTTTTTGTTTTCTAGATGTTTTGCACTTAATGTTTGTGGGTTTGGTAGCACTGTAAGTAACTTACAAAACAATCACTGTAATTTTTGAAATCCCACAGCGTTCAACAAGCAGCAATTTAGCAATTAGGCTCCAGCATATAAACAAACAGGTAAAGAAAGCACTCTCCTCAATAATTTCCAAATTTGGATTTTTCCATCATGTTCTCCTTTTCTAACGCAGTAAAGACCACTGTTAATTATCAAAGTATTGATATGAGACCAGTTCATTAAGATACTAACACATACCCTTACCACTGCTTCAGTTACATGAAGGTTAAATTGCTCACACTTCTCAAGTTACTGTAAATTCAATGACTAAATATCAAATGTACACAGTGATAACATTAGACCATATACTGGTGGCTATTTTCAAAATCACCATTCATTCAAAATACGTTGCTAAAAATGTCTTTGAGAATGACATCTATTCAATAACAGAATTGAAATCCCTTGTGGCAAATGCCCAAAGTAACTTAAAATTAAAATGCTTGCCATAAATTACCCATTACACAGTAACAAGAACTAATGAAATTTGTAATGACCAATCATTAAGAAATGTCCATTTCAAATGCACATAGTGCAGCAACTTGGAAACATAATATATATTGTGCAGCATAGATGGATTGTCCAGTGCTGTGAACACCACTAATAAATCAACCCACAATAAGACTTTTCTGGGCAATGTCTCAGATATATCACTGAGAAGTTTTTAGCTTAGGCTTTTATGATGTTATGATAACCATGATACATGACAGACTTGTACTTCTGCCCATATAATTTCTTCAGCTTAAAAGTAGCAGAATCTTTGGAAAACTCTTGAGCACAGTGACCTGGAAATGCTCTGGAAATGCTTTGCTCTACATAGCACTGAGGTATTACAGGAGTTTTGGAAGAGAACTTGTCCATATCTGTGTTTTACCTGGTGTACTGCACCTGCTTCCCCTCCTGACACACCTCATGATGATGATCTGACCCACCATGTGCCCTTCTCATGACACATGAGAGAAATGACCCTCCTCCTCCTGCACCAACAGTGGGACACTCTTTTCAGTCACAGGGGAAGACTTAGGCTTAGTCCATCAATGACACTGGCTTGTGAAGGGAATTCTGACTGAACAGGACCCACAACACTCACTGTGCTTCTCTCTAACAACCAGTTTCATGGAGAAACATCCCTCAGCTTCATGGAGAAATGTCAGGAAACCACAGCTGTAAATGCTGCTTACTTTCCCTCAGAGCTGTAGCTGTTCATGCTCCCATCCGTTGACTCCCGGCTCGCCTGGCGAGTCATCCAGTTTCTCATCTCCACGGCCAGCCCTGTCTCCGTGCTCCTCTGGACGGTGCTCCGCAGCTTCTTGCCCCCTGCTTCTGTTGGAGACAAAAGAGAAGCCCCCATGCCACTGTGCTGTCACAACTGTGCACACTCCTGCTCCACATGGCACTCAGAGCCACAAATTAGTGACCTGTAAAAAACTTCCATTTAAAATGTATCAATTTTTTACTAACAGGAAAACAGCATCATAAATATCTTTATAGGATCAGGATCTTAGTTCTGTCACCGCCTGCTTTCCAAGGTCAGACAACACAAGTCTGCCCACAGAGGCAACCAGATTTAAACAATCCATAGTCTAGCGTGTTTAAAATATATTTTCCCTGGATGAATAAATCCCTCCTAGGAATTCAATTAAAATGTTACCATGATGTCAAAACCTGAAGAGAAATGTTCTAATTCAGATGGATTATTGTTTTAAAAGCATTTGGTCATTATCTCCTAAATCAAGTTACAGATATCCATTAGTGAGGATAGTAAACTAAAAATCAAGAAGCCTTCCTTTCTTCTCTATTCACTAGTTGATAAATTTAAATTTATATTTAAAATATACAGTATTTTTATGCACAATAAGAAACTCTATTTTCACTTTCAAGAATAACAATTTTTCTATCTATTTGCATAGTTTAATTTTACAGCGTGACAGATGTCTCGGTATCAGACAAGGGAAAAAATACTCAAACAATATAATAGCATTTTAGTGTAGGAATTTTGATCAAGACCTCAACTGGATGAAATTAATAGAAATGAAGCCTCATTTTTACTTTCACTAATAAGACAGCCACTCCATCTAATTTCTAATTTTAAATGCTGTTCCTTGCAATGGGGCAAGGAATTCTGCATACTTATTTCCTTTGATCTGTTCTATACACCTCTGAGTGCAGCACAGTGATGTGTAATATACTGATAATATAAAAGAGAAAAAAAGTTTAAAAACACTACAATAATAATTCTTAAATACTGATACAATGAGGGTACAGTAATATCCAATATTGTAGGATATTGATGGACTCAATTTCCTTGTGCAGTTGTTTGTAGCATCTGGTACCCTTTACACCTTCTCTGCCTTGTCATGTAGTAGAGGTCAGAAGAACTTCTGGACCTGTGAGGATGGTGAAGCTTTAGAGATTTAAAAAAGGAAATGAACAAAAGGAGGAGACTGTCCTGAGATGAGGACTGTCATGTCCCAAGGGGAATGTGTGAGCACAAGGACTGGCTTAGAGTAAGAGGATCTGCACCCTGCGACAGGGAGTGGGAGAGAGTCCTCAATTTCAATGTGTGCACTCATTGTCACTCTCCTACATGCTGCAGTGTGGGCTGAAGTCTCCCAGGCCCCTCAGTCAGGAGGAATATTAGGTCAATAAAGGACATGGGAAATGTAGTAATGTGGGAACTAGACATCAAAAATACCTTGAAAACCACTGCCTCCATGTCAAGAAAGATTAATAACTCCGCAATATTAAGCAGCAGTGAGAAATTTCTACGGCAGTATCATGAGTGGTTCAAATCATATTTCTTATTAAAAGCCTTCCACATATTCCTTAAGACCATCACTTTGAATCAGTACATACAAATAGTCATAATAATAGAAGTAAAAATTTTCCTCCAGAACTTCAGCTACACAAATAAATTCAGTACACAGGAGAATGAAAAAATAAATTTTATTGCATCAAAATGAAAATGCCCATCAATACCTGATGTAAGAAACGCAAATAAAAAAAGTACCATACTACTACAACATACAGAAAATGAAGGTCAGAAATCAACAATGTCATTTCTTTTGGGTTGCACCATTCCAAGTGCCTGCTGGTTTATTATTTATATTCAAATAATAAAAGCTGGCAACTGACTTCCAACAGCGCTCCAGGGTTGTTCTAAAATACAAGCGCTCATTTCAAAGAAATATTCCCACAAACTGCCAAGAAAATATCATGCCATAGTTTTGCAGAAAAGGTACACTTCATTATATTTACATGTGAAAGCCATACAACTCTGAAGCCCCACAGGATATTACTCTTCTAAGAACTCTTTTGATGAGTAAGCATTCATTTTCATTCAGCCTCATTGAATGATGGTCGTTCTCAATTCATTATTGTAAACATGATGTCCTTAATGCAAATTTAAAAGAAATCTCAATTTTGCATGATTCTTCAGTATCTTCACACATCTTTCAAAGATTTGGGAGTTTGGGAGAAATATATGTTCGATTATGTCATATGTGAAGGAGTACATAGTAACTTTTTAGGGCAATTTTTTTTTTCTGACCTAAAATTGTAAGTCTGTATGCCTTCATTGTAGAAGAATAGAATTAAAAAATTAACATATCCATTGCACATCAATTTATTGAGAAATCAAGGCAGAACTCGTACAACTGCCATTCAAGTTACAGCATCCCTCTAAACCTTAATTTAAAGCAGTTTTACTTTCCCACATTCATTTTAACTGAAATAATTGGTCTGGTTCACATGACAACAGGCACACAAAGTTACAACTCTGATACAACATGAAAGTTAGAGATCTGTAGTATATCCAACTTTTGTGTAAGTATGAGTGGTAAACAGTAATTTTTTTTGACCTTAACATGGAATTTAAGGAGGGTTGAAAGGAGGTTATGTGAATAACAATTTCCCAGTTTTCAATAGAAACAGACAGTGCTCTTGAATGGTCTCCAAAAAGAAAGATCTGACCTTTCATCAATAAAGCTCCTAATCATGATGTTGATGTTTCTTGAAGTAAGAATTGCAGATTTTAACAGAAAAATGGCAGCTTGGAATAGAATTAACAGAAGACCCAGATCTGGGTGGCATGACTTCTGAGACACTGCTTTTGACATGAATATTTTTTCAGATGAAACTTGGCTAAACTAATACATAATAATACATGAGAAATATCCCCCCCTGGATTGTCCCCAATACTAGCAATATATTTGCCCCTGGAAGAATGCTAATAAATCAAAAATAATCCTACAATTCCTCAAACAATTTAAAGGCAAAGATAGTATTTGTGCCATCTATAATTTATGTTTCATAAATTCAGCATTCAAAAATTAAAAACATTTCAAGAAGCAATGAAACCACAAAATAGCTGCTCAGCTTAAAGAAATAGCCTTTGGTGCCATACTTCCAAGCTGTAGTTGGTAAAGCATCTGATTGAAGATCATATCACTTTATTAAAGCCAAACTGTTCTCCTCATTTCTGCCTGGAAATTGAAACCTCCTCTCTTGTGTTAATTTAACTACTCATGTGGCTGCATTCCATACTGGACCTAAATCAAAAGGAACAAACAAAAATATGATTTAAAATTGTTCTTTTTCTTTCAAGACTGATAATTTTGGAAAGGATATTTGTCAAGACAAGCATATAGCTGAATGAACCCAGCTAAGGCAATACTAACCTCTAGCTAAACAAGTAACTTGGGAATTATACCACTCACTCAGAAATAACTATCTAACTGGTGTCACTGTAAAAGTGGGGGTTGGTTTTATAATCCTAAAGTATATATCCTTAGACACTCATGCATGCTGTTTTCATCTTAGCAAATGAAAAGATACAGAAATGAGAGCTTAGAAGTGTACTTTTTTGTTATGTTGCTGAGTACCTACAATCAAAATAATTTCCTAAACTCTAATAAAGAACATTGAAAATGTTCTCCAAATTAGTATAAGCTAATTGCCCTAGCAAAAAGAAATTTCTCTCAAGACCCTCAACAAAATATGGAATATATTATCTGAAAAACACCAGTTCAGATTCTCGCAGCCATATTGTAAGGACTGGAATAAATTACCAGAAATAATTGCACTGGTATTTATGAAAGCACACTCATTCTTACAGTTAATCACACTGGTAATTTAACTAATATGGTAACTGCAAATAGACTCCACAGGCCACATTTTCTAAGTTATGGACAGAATTATTTGTTCCCACAACTTGGGAGTGCAAATCACTTACAAATTAGGGATGCAAAACTACTGATACAATCTTCAATAGCAGATGAGGAGAAGTCAAAAACTGCAGTGAATGCAGCAGATTATCTTCCATCATCTGGGATCTAGCCAGAAGAAATCCGCTGCTGGTGTGAGAGTGAGAGCTCTCAGCTTGCTCTCGGCAGGAGCTTCCTACAACTGCTCCCCAGCAGGCACAAATGCAAGAGAAGACATGGCACAGGGACAGGCAGCCTGGCTATGCCAGTTCCCAGCTGGTATGTGATCTCTTGATAGGATTTGTAGGAAGTGTAGGGCAGCTGTGGCTTCAGAAACACACTTAAGCGCTTGAGGTGGCTCTTCTCTGCTCTCCCCACCTCACCAAAAATGCTGCAAAAAAACTCCTTCAGCATTGTCATCTCAACTCAGGAGTTAGATCCACAAAGAGAATAAGCCTTTAAGTGCCCATTTTTAAGACTAAAATTATTTACATACCTAGTTACCTGCTCCAGATATATTAACAACTGGCTAGATAAAAGACAGTCTAAGAAAATTTGAACCTACAGAAGAAAAGGGGTACAGGGTAGGTCTCAAATTCCCTTGCAGCTGCACAGCTCTGTTTCTGGAGTAGTCCAAGTTTTGTTTGCACTGAACAAGATATTTAGCTCTTGTTGAAGCATTAGGAAGCACAGCCAAGTTATTTCTTTCTCTGTGTTACCCACAGACCCCAAGCAGAAAATATGGTTTAGGATCTATTAATTTAAGCAGGATTTGGGAAACACAGATTCCATTCCCACTTGAATTTGAGCTCATTTCACTGATTCTCATAAACCAGTGCTAACAATCAGTTTATGAAGTTTTGTATTACAGTCCTTCCAATAGACATTTTCACAGTGCATGCTGTCAGCATTTCTGAAACCCAAAGAGCATTTCAGAGCCAGGGGGAAGCTGTAACCAGGGGGTTTCTCTCACTTCTAAGGAAAAAAGGAAGATCTGCACTCTAGTTCCTGCTCCATGAGTATCTGAATGTAAAATACTGATAAATTTTGACTGGGACAGGAATGACCTTTTTTGATATGCCCAAAGCAGAGCTGCCTTCAGCAAGAAAGCTCTTCAGT